TGAGAGAGTGTACGAGGTGGGCATGACAGTGGCAAGCAAAGCAACAATGTTTACTATAATGAATTTGGCATCTTCATTCTTCTTCCATTTTTCATATTTCAATTCCAACAATTTCTTCTATATATATATATATATATATATATATATATATATATTATATTTCTCTACCAAATTATTTGTTTTTTTATTAACTTAATAATATTTGTGCATTCTCACATATTAGTACTAAAATAAAATATCTCAGTTTTTCCTTTCTTTCTCTTTTGGCAGAAACAAGTGACCCTCCAATACAAATCTTCCTTATGGCTTCCTAGGGTGTATGATTTAAATAATGCATACATATTCATGTATCTCCAACCAATTTGTTCCTATTGATAAAATTACTCTATTTAATTATACATAAAAATTTTGTTACATGAGATAAAAAATTGATAAAAATAAAATTTTATTTATTGCAGGAAATTCTTGAAGATATTTGGATATAAAGGCGTCAAGTACTCTAGCAGCAATATTGGGTAAGTTGACTCTCCAACTTTAGCAGCAATATTGGATAACCTTAAGTTAGTTCTTACTTTCTTGTTTGCAATTATTTTCAAGTACTATAATTTATGGAGTAAATTAGTCAATTATAATTAATTGTAAAAAAAAAAGAAGAAGAAATATTAAATACTAAAACTTTTTAAGTAAGAAAAAATATTATTTATGGAGAAATATTGGCATGCAAGTGATTGGCGTTTGCCTTTTAAATTCATGATCGAATTTGTGATAGTTATATGTTACATATTAAATTTTTTTAGAACTGAATAAATTAATTCTCCAATTTTCTCATAAGCCTTTAGGAAGTCAGGCTCCATTTAAGGTGAAACATAATCCTTCTCACATTGAATATGTATATAACAACTCAAATCTCTTATTTTCCCTTAAGTGGATTATGTTGTGATGCAATGGACTTTCCATCATCCGGTTTCAAAAAGAAAAAAAAAAAAAATACACAAGGTTTTGGCATTTTCGGTAGGATGTTTTTTGTATTAAATTAAATTTTATTTATTATTATTATTATTTTTAGGTTTCAACAATTTGGGGACTGAAATGATTAAGTATGAGAGCTTTTCTAGGATAAATGATGAGAAAATTTGTGAAGAATAAATTATGGAAGAAAATTTGGGAAGAATATGCAAATTGTGATAACTATATTTTAGACTTATGATTGCAAGCCAAGAATAATTTATATATTCATAATTGTAGTTTTGTTTTTGAGATGTGAACTTATTTGTACAAGTTCAAAAAAGAAATATTTAAAAGACAAGAAAAAAAAAAAAAAAACAGTTTATGATGTGTTACGATATTATTATGTCTCTATAAATATATATAAAGTTGTTTATACGATAGCACATTACATCATATTTCATTTCTACACTTAAATTCTTCAACTTATTATTTTTTATAATTTTTAAAAAAAATTCAATGCAATTTTTATTTCAAGGATTTTTTTTTTTTTATCACGTGCATTATGCACGTGCACTTTTGCTAGTAAATATAAATATATTTGAATTGTTTGATTTATAATTACCTTGAAATAAAAAGGAAGATAGGGAGGAAAAAATAAACACACTCTACAAGCATGCCAAACAATGTCATAAAGGATTTTTTTTTTAATGTTGAGTAGTAAAGATTGTGATATGTATAACATAAAAATAATTTAATTAAAATTTCTCTTCCATTTTCTCCTAACAAACAAAAAAAGTTATTAGCCTCTTTTTTTTCTCTTTCATCCAACCGACAAAGCCAAGGAGGGAAGTAAACAATCTCGTCCACAGATGTGACCAAGCATCGCCCCCACTGAATTTTTTACATTTCCATTTTAGATCTTAATTTTTTTAGAATTTATGAAGATGCCCCCACTGAATTTTTTATATTTCCATTTTAGATCTTAATTTTTTTAGAATTTATGAAGATGTCCCCAATAAAATTATAATTCGCCTCCACTGAATTCTTTTTTTTTTTTTTTTTTTTTTAATATGCCCCCATTAAAATTACAATTTGCACTACTGAATTATTTTTTTTGTATTTTATACTTTAAATTTTTAAAAATTTATAAAGAAAACTCCATTGAAATTATAAAAATGGACCCACCATATAAGTTTACCCCACAAATTAAAAGATCCACTCCCTCACAAATTTTTTTGGATCCGTCATTGCAGATGTCTCATTCTTCCATTCTTCTCTTTTCTCACTTTTAATAAAACTAATAGATGAAAATAAATGACAATATTTTCATCCAAAATTTTTCCTTCCTACTGGCCATAGACCACCCCTTCCATTTCCTGAATCCTCCCAACCTAACATACTCTGAATTTCTTAAATTCACTATTACATCAATAATAGGTGGAGATTTTACTAAGGAATTTCTAAACCAAAATATGAACATAAATTTTGATAGGACATGATACAACTTGCCGATGAAATTATGAAAGTCTTTCATTTGTTTTTTTCCAATGGGACAGAGAAGAAGTGAAAATGCAAAGAAAATAATGTTTTCTTTATTTTATTATTATGAAATACGAAGTAAAAGAAAATATGAGATGACATAAGGGAAATTTCTTTTGAATACAATGAACTTGTTGAAAAGTTAAAAGTAACAAACATATGCCATTGGGTGCACTGAAGGACTCGTTTTAGAAAGGAAATTTGTTTAGATATAATAAGTCTTTCAACACAATGTTTTTTTTTTCTTATTTTAATATGAATGGAGTCAATGTATAATAAATGTTATCTCGTTAAATTATCGTGAATCCATGATTAAAAGTAAAAATCTTATTATATTATCTTCAGTCAACATTCTCCACTAAAAATCGTATAATATTATTCCCAGTCTACATTCTTCGAATTCAGAGTAAAGTGTAAATCATTATGTAAAACTGTAAATTTGTCTAAGCATCCAATTAAATTTTGAATAGATGTTATTTTTCTCAATGTACTCTATATAACAATTAACAAAGGAATAATGACAAACCATTTAAATAGAGAAATGGAATGATAATTACACATAAAAGATGTGTTTTTACTTCTTACAACTTGTCATTCGCAAAATATCTTATAAAAGATTTTTATTTTGATCAAAAACCTAAAACGCATTTAACTATTCTTTACAACACTTATAAAGATCATTAGTTAATGTCTTTTTCATTAATTAATATACATATTTAAATAATTGAATCGAATTCGAATTAAAATTTAATAAACTGATTTGAACCTAAAATCAATAGGGTAAGCGACATTTTAAGACTTAACACTTTAACCATTTGGACAATATCGCTAGAGCTTAATGTGTTCTCTGTTTTCTAACTCCATAATCCCACTATGAGAAGCCTGACTTTTACGTGCCCAAATTATTGATTGGAAAACAACTACTATTGATGGTGGTAAGAAAAGGTGGGCTATGTGATATGATCAACTTTTTGGTGGTCTATGAAACTATAATGATGGAGAAATTGACTATTTCAAGTCACTTTCAGTAATGGTTTGGTCGGCCGGAGGATGCAACGATGACCACGGTTTTCGAAGCCGGCATATAAAATAAAAAAGAGGGAGTATTTTTTTTACACATAGGACCCAAAAATCAAGTATACACAACTTTTTAAAAATATAATTAAATAAAAATAAATCTTTACTGAATTTTATTGAATGTTTGAACGCTGGCTAAAACAAATAGTAACCTATTTGTAAATTTTAAGTTATCACGGTAACGTACAAGTTAATGTTTGATTATATTTAAGCAGTACAAGGTTACGTAAATAGACATGCAAATATATTATAATGTTCAAATAAACAACATATATATATATATATATATATATATATAATTGTAAAGACGTTATGATAAATAAAAAAAATAAAAATAAAAAAACATGTTGTGACATGGTGATCTAAGCTTTACACAACTTATAATATTTTAAGTAAGGTTGTAATTCAAACAAGTTAGAAGTTCAATTTTGACTTAATTGGAGGTATGAAAATTTTAATCCTACGAACCTTATCCAATACGGCTATCAACCGAACTAATCAACCCGAGCCCAATCATTCTTACTTTTCTAAGCCCAATTTGAATTCAGGCTATCGGGTTGAATTTAAACTTCCTAACTCTAGTTGATATTTCAAGTTTGAGTTTGGGTGGTTGTAAAAACAAATTAAATAACTTCAACTTTTTCAAAGCTAAAATAATTAAAGATATACAGTATATATATAGTTTTCACAAAAATAAATAGAGATATTGGCATGACATAATAATAAATGGATCAAAAAGCTAATAAGTTCACTATCTCTTATACGTCACAACCAAGTGAATCTACTAAATAATCAATTACATGTAACTAAAACAAATATTTTTATACATATATGTAAATATATCGGATTCAATGTTCGAATTTTATAATTCAAGACAAGTTTGGGTTGAGATTTGAGTTGCCCGACACAGTATAACCCAAGTCTGACTCGAAATACAATTTATACCATCCAAGCTCTAACTTTTTGGGTTGGGCCCACTTGAATTGCAGCTCTAATTTTAAGCACTCTTTGTTTTGAGTTGAACCGGATGGAACCGAGGCGGTTCTAGTCAAAACCAACCTGATTATACCAATCAGTACAGAATCGGTTCTAGTCATATTCGAGCGGAATGTTCGTTCGTTGAACTATGATATGTATATATAATAATTACCCATATATATAACCAAAATACAACCATCCTCCTTTTATAAGCTTGTCTAAATATGCAGAAAAACGAGACAAAAATCTATTAAAAGAACTAATCATGTTCATAGAAACTCGATTGCGAGCACACTCGTTCGGGGTTAGAATGGGTTAATCCGCATTGACTAATATTAAGCCTCATGTATAATGGATAGGTTATCATGTGGAAGTTGGTTTTGTTTTCTACCTTGTTTTTTATTAGTAATTTATTAATTGATTTAAAATCAACTTTGTCGCATGTAATTCTTGCTGAAGATTCTCATATCAGATTGAAACAAACTTTTACAAACACAAACCTTTTTGGTATCACATTTTTCACACACAGATTTCAGCATACGTACATAGCCCAGTAAGTACTAATAAGTAAGATACACAATAATCTGCAGCAGAGTCTCAACCCCATCAGTGTTGTGCTGGTTTGTAGCTGGAAACGTCTTCAATGTGGCAAAACCCTTAGCATTCACATACTTTCCAGTACCACCCATGATGGCAAGTTGGGACTCCGAGGCAGCAGTCCTATGGACACCGAAGAAACTGAGGCTATCGACGTAACTTCCACTCACAAACATGGCAGTGAAGGCCATGGCCTGGCTGCTTCCATCCTCTGAACTTGCTACATAGAACCCTTGTGCCTTGCCCACCAAACCCGACCCGAGCTCATGCCCTTCAGTGAGTTCATCGTCGAAAACTGTCATTGTCCCGAACATAAGCTTTTGAATGGTACTCCCTGCAGGCAGTTGGCCACCATTCAGAATTGGAAATCTTGATCCTCCGTTGACATCGTTGTTACCGTTGTTTTGAATCACGTTTGTCGTGCTTCCACCAAGGCCAGTGAGAAATGGGATGTTATTGTTGTTGATGATCCCACTGTTGCCATTATTGATAGGGACACCATTGTTAACTGGGAGGACAGCACCATTAGGCTTGGCAAAGGGCACTTGACCGCTGACAGCCGGATTGGTCACGATCCCAGTCACAGCTCTAGTTGAGGGGTTTGACCCGCCTAGTATGTCATGCATGAAGAAGGACAATCCATGGTCAGGAGCAGCAGTTACACTCGAAATAGGTGTCCCGATTGAACCAGGTAAAACAGGCGTCCCGATTGAACCAGGTGCTGCAGGTGCGGTGGTGGGGAGGATTTGGGCTGATGTTGCTGATATGATAATGAGGGCCAAGAGAATCGGGGAGAGTACGCCCTTGAGGGCATTGTTTGCCATGACTCTCAGAAGAGAATGAGGAGCTCTTTTTGAGTACTACAAAGCAAATGAAAATGTTTTCCTTGTTATGGTGTTGATGGGCTTTGGATGTTTGTTTATGTAGATATATATTTTGTGAACTCAACAGCCAAAGATCAGAAAAATAAGATGGAGTTGATGAGATGGAGTAGGTATTTGAATTTCCCACTTTGGGTGTGTTGGTTAGCACTTGTAAACCTAAGTTTCGTGTTTCAGGTAGAAATGGATTTTAAAAAATAAATAAATAAAATACAATTCTTTATACCTCAAACACCAATTTAGATATATTTCACAAAACATTGTTCTTCAGAACGTTAAAGTATACAATACCAGGGGTATTTACCATGTGGTACCCCCAACTAATTGACAATCATGTTTTTTCTTGAAAACTCCCTATTTCTCCTTATCAAGACATATTGAGAGTTTCAATGACTGTCCATTGACCAGAGTACCACGTGCAAATACTCCCGAAGTATTGTATACTTTGTCATAACCAAGTCCAAAGCAGGGAGAGCTCAACCAATCCACTTGGTGACTGGACGTAAAGCTCTCCAATTCTCATTAACTAGGCTGAAAGTGCATATTACCCAGTACCCAATTATTATCACATATTTCCTTCACCAGTACCCCAAGAATAGGAAGAAGATCAACTTCAAACATATTCTTACATTTAGATTAAACCAGCTTTCTAGGTGTATGGTATTGCATCACATTCAAAGTACAATGCAAAATGTAGAGAGAGGGATGGAAGAGCCTTAACTATGGAAATCTAGCAAAGTTAAAGGCAACTGCTTCAAGCTTCAGTTTGCCACATAAACAGCAAAGTAAACAAACAGATCAACCATCAGAAACACTATCAAAAGATTTTGCAACAGTTCATCTTCAACTCCGTGCATTAAAACAATCATAACAAAACTAGTTACATATAAAGGGTCACCTGGACACGCTTCTCTTTTCTTTTTCAGAGTCACAGTTCTGAGCTTCCAGGAATGCTCAATGCAAATTTGGCGAAAGCTGAAAGTAGTGACAAGTCTGTAATTCATGATTATGTTTGCACATCTTGATCGACGAGTGGGTAATATTACGGATAATCCCAAACAAGAAATCGAGCAACATATCCACTTGCATATTAGATATTCCATTTGTAATTATTTCTCTGAAACTTGGACCATGACTACATAGCTATTGAAGTCCACAATTCGAAGAATTGATTTGGGTCGCTTTGACTTCACAGGAAGTTTAAATGTCTAACAAGTGTGCTGATTCAAGAGCAGGCACGAAATTGAGAATAAATTAAAAAGGCAACAAAGGTCTGCAATCTCGGACCATTTTTGGCTCCTTTCATCCTTCACAGCTCAAATGGATGGCTAAATTCCAGCTCTAGAAAGCTTTACAAGAGAACACAGGCACCATTAAACATTAACATGAAGTAGGAAAACCCTAATGAAGGATCTCTGAGCTCTAGAATCCCATGTCATAAAAGTAAGACTAGGGGTTGCCAACCAGTCAGAATGCAATCACTCATGATAGCTTTGTTTGACATTAGAATGCTTGTTGCCATGGATTGTCAATTTAGAATCCATTGAAGCCAATTAATGAGCAGAGACCAGTTGAGCTACAAGTCCACTTGCACCCTCATCCCCACCACAAACATCCCTAACCAAAGCTTCCCAAGACTCGAGATCAAATTTCATCTTCCTCTTCTGCATCTCCTCCAAAACAAAGCAAGCATCATCCATCTTCCCACACTTCACTAGACCCACAATCAAACAACAAAAAGTTTCCAAACGAGGATAGTGCTTACTCATCAGCATTGCATTTAAAACCTTCAAACCTTCCTCAAATTCCCCAGTTTGACAAAATCCATCAACCATCATCCGGTATGTGGCTGCATTCGGCTTACAACCTTGAACCTGCATTTCCACTAAATCTTTATAAGCCTCAGCAACTCTACCTTCCTTGCACAAATAATTAATCAATATATTGTATGTAACAACATCCGGCTTCAACCCCCTTTTCCTCATCTCAAGAAGCACAGCTTTAGCTTCCTCAATCTTTCCCCTCTTTCCTAGGTCAGTCATCAAAACACCATAATTCACAAGGCGTGATTTACACCCTTGATACTCCATATCAAACATCATCTTTTTCGCTTCCTTATGTTTACCTTGAGAGCACAAACCTTTCATCAACAATGCATATGTGACAGCATTTGGGCGTTTCCCTTTCACAGTCATGTCCTCAACCAAACTCTTGGCCTTATCCACGTCACCCTTTTCGCACAAAAACCCAATCAAACCATTATAAGTTACAACAGTTGCATCTACCTCTTTCTCAAGCATTTCTTCAAACACTTGGCAAGCTTGTTCCCACTCACCCCTCTTAAGCCACCCATTGATTATAATATTAAATGAAACAGAATTTGGGCGAAAACCCAATTTTGACGAACGCTTAAACATCTCATTGGCATCATGAAACCGATCACTGTCAACAAGAACATTGAGAAGGGCATTGAAAGACTGCAATGTCCGGACACAATTGAAAGAAGTCATCTGATGAAAGAGTTGGACAGCCTTTTCGGGCAATTGGGACTTCCCATAATGTTGAATCAATGCAATAAAAAGGGTATCTTTGCAACGAATGTTATAGTTTTGAATGCAACGAAGGAGGGTTTGAACAGCTTCGAATTCGCGACGACGAGCGAGCTTGTAGATGAGTGCAGAGTATGACGGGTAGTCGTGTTTGAAGCCTGTTTGATGGTATTGATGGAAGAGAGCGACGGCTTCATCTGGATCGTCGACTTCTTTGATGTCGTTGATGAAAGGTATGGGTCTGCGAAGAACCTTTGAGGTGGGTCTGTGAGGTTCTTCATGGCGAGGTTTTTTGGTGGGTCTATTGGGTCGAAACGTGTGATAAGGTTGCGAAGGTATGTGATTAGTATGGGAAATATGGTGAGATATGGTGGTTGAATGTGTCTGGTTGATTGGTTTAGCTCGTGAAATGATCATGGAATGGAAGTTTCATTCACCTGCTGCAAATTGGCGGGAAAAGAGTGATTATACACCGTGTTTCCGAGGATGGAGATGCAGGGAGCCAAGGGAGGAAAATGAAATGGAAAGAAAATGGGTATTATTCGGGCCCCGTTGGTTTGATTGTGAACATGAAATGGGGTTGAACTGGTCTGGTCCAAGTTGAAGGAATGGCTCGACATCACTTTAAATTGCATGCATTTTTATGAACTTATGTGTTCATGTCCTAAATTACACAATTCTTTCTGTTTTCATTTTTCATGCGTGCTCATATATATTTTCAAGCTCTTGGGTACTTCTGCTCCTATTCTCACTTCTCACTCTGTGTAACTTGAATTTTATCATTTTTGACGCTCTCACTCTCACGTTCCAAGCGAACTCCCGCTCTTAAACTCCGCGCAAGCTTTCGCTCCCATTCTCACTCTATATGACTTAAATTTTGCCGTTTCCGTTCTTAAGTTCCATGCACACTTTCGCTTCCGATCCCACTCTTTGTGACATGAATTTTGCCCCTCACACACGTTGTGACTTAGTTCTTGCCTAAGCTAGAATATCCATTCCAAGTTTGATCATTCCAACTTCCACTTTTAACCTTCTATTTCGAAAGAAGAGCATATGCCAATTGAACTTTACTTTTATTTTAAAGCAAGAAATTTTAGCAAAATATGATAAAAGGCTGGATCATGACATTAGATAAAGCGGAATTAAAATAAGAAATATAATATATATAGTCGATTCCAAATTAAAGGCAAAATATGATGAAAGAACAAACAATTACTAAAATACTATCCTTTAATGTTAACAAACAAACAAATAAATAATCGAACCATCTCAAATCACATCCTTGTCGGAGCTGAACCAAAATGCCCAAGTCTTATATATGTCCTGTGTAATTCAAATTGAACTTCAAGTAAAAATAGTCTAATATATGTCCTGTGTAATTCAAATTGAACTTCAAGTAAAAATACTGTTTACAATTGCTATTATTCTAATTTATATTACAAAACAGTTTGGAGTATATTAAACATTTTCCTTCCTTCACTGCCTCTCTAGCACAACTGAAATCGACGGGTCATAAAATCGTAAACATCACCGTGTTACCAGACGCCTGAGAAAATAAAAATAGTAATAGAGCAAATGTCAACAAAGATTAATGAGCAGAGTAATGATTTCAAGAGATCTCCCTCGAACTCTCCATTTTAACCAATGAATTGAAATATGCATTAAATGATTAATTTGAATTTTCACAGATCTCAAAAAATTGTCTCAATCCCGTGATTAAATATGAAGAGCTCATGACTGAACATGAGGATACTCTCTTCAGAGTATTACTCTCATGGAAAATCGAGGTGAGCGGTGTTTTATGTAAGGAGATACTGCAGGAGTGCTCTTATTCCCCTCAATCAGGGTGCAATGAGGTGTTTTAGCTTTGAATTATAAACAGGAAAGATTGATTGATGTAGAAAATTGTTGTAAAGCCATGCACCAAAACTGTGTGCGCGCATTGCGCGCTCAGCATCAGGATAAATATGGTCAATTTAACATACCATGTATGGGTGTGTAAGTATGGACATCTTGCAAATGTTGCTACTGTGATCGCGGGTTAGCTGAAGCCGCACATGTAGGAGGCTCTTCCAACTGTCGCCAAGTGCTGGTTTAGTAATACCACCGTCTCCACTCACCATGTGATTGGTCACCTTAAAAACAGGTTTCAGTATTTAGTATTAATCTAAGGACAGAAAAATGTCGGCCAATCAAAGATTACGAATCCATAATTGTTACAAACTTGCAACATAAAATTTCATCTGAGAAGCACAATGCTAATTGTTGACATAATTAATGTAGAGTACAAGACGATTCAAAAGGATATCATAAAATTGATTTTGCAAGCCAGATCGACCCATCTTCAATTCTAAAGACAACTAGACCACCACTGATACCTAGTCATCATTAGTAATTAGAGGATTAGGACTTCAGTGGATACCTGATGAGAGGACAGCAGAAATTACGAGTGCAGGCAAAGATTGGAAGCTGATTTATTTATTTGTTTATTAAGTTCATCAAGAAAAACAGCAAAAAATGAAAAAGGGAGGGAAGAACCAGAACATGCACCCAGCTTATCATGGATCAGGGAGTTGGAAAATCAGAGCTCGTTCCCCAAATTTGAAGGCCCCATCATGTAGAAGCATAAGAAGATAATGATAAGAAAAACAACAGTGACATTTCAAAAATAATCTCGATGAATTTTTAAAGTTATAGAAAGTCACCTACTTTTTGAAGATTAGAATATAAATTAATGGAACGATAAGTTTTGTCTAGACCGTAAATCATCATTCAACAGCAATTTAATCAATTGGTAAAATGGGGGCCTCAAAAAATTGCAAAATGTTGAGATAGGTACTTGTCATTCAATAGCTTAGCAATGAACTCGAAGTAACGTAAGTTTGGCATACATCATATACATTACAAATCTAAACACGGTAATCTGTAAATAATACATGTTTTAAAAATAAAAAATAAAACTTAACAAGTCAACACAAAACCCTTAGACGGGACCACATAACTAAGAAAAAATACCATCCAGCTTTAGCTGCTGGATCAGATCCTATGACAAGTACTGGAAACTTGCCAATTGAATAAAGGTGTTCTTGGAAAAGATTACAAAAGAACAGAAGGAGTGCGCACCAGAATGGGGAAGACAACATCTATCTATCATGCAAATATACACGGTAGTAATTTAAAGTGAACAACTTACCAATACACAGAGGTTATGCTCATGTGCTAACTTCTTTAGCAAATATCCAGCAGAAATCATCAAAGCATGTCCTGTAAGTACCATCAAGCATGCTAATAAGTTCCTACACAACTATATATACATACGTAAGTGTTTGTACAGATATCAGTTGTACAAGAACAGTCCATGAGTAATTAACCTAGATACGGTTATAATGGCTATGGAAAGCAATCAAGGGAACCATAAAGATAGATCCAACAGGCTAGCCACCTGGCAGCTGGGTGTTTTATACGGTGAGGGACAATGTTACCTGAAACTTCTGTTTTTTCTTGTTTCTTTTTGTAAGGTAGAAAGAATTTCAGGAATGTCGTATAACAGGCTAACCCTTGTACTTTCCAGGATAGATAGTGATGAATAAGTCCAAATTTAAAATAAAGGGCTAATGAAGCACATGAGGCTCCCGCCATTGAGGAGTCTGGGGAGGATCAGATGTACGCAACCTTGCTTCCACATATGGAGAGTCTATTTCCCATTTCAATCCCATGACCTCCAAGTCACAATGAAACAACCTTAACATTGCGTCAAATCTGTCCTCGTGTTCAAAGCCAAAATACTTTTTATATTTATTTTCCCTTTTTATTTTAATTGTTTTTGGGAAGTAAGTTACAAACACTCCCATTTGTCCCATTGAGGAACCTCAACATTCCAATTAGAAGAAGGAGATACCACTTGGGCCAAAATCCTTGGTGGAAGTAATTTCTCTATATTGTTGGATCCTACATTCACAACTTAAGAAAGAGAAAAGACCTTTCATTTGGCATGCGCATTCAGAAATTCAAATTGCTTATCAACTAAACATCAGGAGAACAATTAAGACAAGAAAGGAAGATAATGGATATGAAAGGAATAACCTTAGACTAAGAACTTGCATAAGTCCTTACAGCAATTAATTAAAGCCCTTTTTTTAATAATTCAAATTCAGGAATTTTGTGGATGGTTATAAAAAAAAAAAAATCAGTAATTTTGGAAATCCATCAACTTCTTACAGATTTATCTAAAAAGTTCCGTGCATGCCATTGTAAATTACAGGATTAATTCTACCAGTAAGCAGATGACTAACCACAGTTCAGCTCACTAATGCAGTGTGTTATAAAAGCTATGCCTGTCAATCGAGTAGGTGATATTGGATTAGCTCCTGTGATTTTGGATTGAACTACAGAAGTGTTTACCTCTAAATTATTTGCACGAAGTGCCTACCAAGCATCAAACCCAGATTCTTACAAGACAACCCATTCTCTACCGTCCCGTCTATCACTATAATTATATTGTGATAAAATTCTTGAACTTAATGAAATATTGCAATAGTTCCAAATTTATTTCTTGAGCATGTAAAATTCATAATACATAGACTTGGTACTGCACAACATTTTAAGAAAATGACAACTCTTTCTTTCTTTTTATTTTTATTTATTTTTGGTGGGTGGGTGGGGTGTGGGAAAAAATTAAGACAGTAAGGAACTAATATCCTCAGTAACATAACTCTACAGACTTCATACCCTTTTTTACAAGCTGAAAAGTTCCATCATTTTAGAGTTGAGAGTCTATGACCATGGTTCTAAATCATGGTTGCAGTGTCATGGGAGCGTGGTATAAACGGGTGTTATGAAACAGTATTGGAAACAGCTGTTGTGAAATTTTCTCAACCTTGCTCACCATGAGATATGCTAACTCGACTGAGTCAATGGGGACTCATACAAGACCTGTCTCGACTGAGTCTGATGTAATTCTAATTACAACCATATCAGTGAGTATCAGATATGGACACGACCGAGTCCATTATGACTCAACTGATACAACAATACTCGACTGATATGCGGAACCATGGTCATGACTTGAGTCAAGAAACTTTGAAGAAGTTGTGGAGGAGAAAATGTAAAACCTCATCCCATGTATCTAGAAAAGTATGATTTACATGCAAGAGTATGTACCTTGTGAACCCTGGCCACCAAGTATTGGGGTAATTAGTGAAGATATAGAATCAATGACAAGTAACTGCACCTGACAATCTCTCTGCATCTGAACCATTTCTCAAATATATAAGAACATGGAATTATAAAATTCCACAGGAAAAGAAAACAAAAATATATGAAAGCATGCTTCATTTAAGTGAAAACCTGAGACCTCAAACTGGACTCCAGCTGACGTAACACATCCAGAAGCGTAAAAAAGTCGAACACAGATTGACATGATATTCTGCTCATTAATTTTTGCAGAATTTTGTAGTTCCCCTGCAAGAAAGATCGCTGAGAAAAAAATTAGAGCCGGAAGAGGAATCTCAAGAGAAGACAATCGCCAGAAATCTCACACGCACACACAAGCTCTCCCAACCCACACAAACACAAATTTATTCTTCTGTGCTAGCAGATGTGTCTATCATGTTTAAAAGTATTCAACAAGAGTTAAATGCCCTAAACCAGAAAGTCACTGGGATTTTTACATACCATATACCATGAATTATTATGGGAACAAATCTTCTTGGAAAATTACAATGGAGCAAGCAATAACAACATGCCTTAAAAGGAAGTCCAAGAGACTTGTTTCCTGAATTCATTTCCAGACCCAAAGATGACCATCTGAGCAAACAAAAAGAAAGAAAGAATAACAGCGAGACAAGATACCTGACCTCTTTATCAGCATGATCTGAGATCTGGCTGATGTAATGTGCAATGCGTTTAGGTGAAAAGGAATTTCCTGTGTCTAAGAACACAACACCACCCATATGCTTCTTTGCAACATTTGAGGCTGCTTGTAGGCAAACCTGGACAGTTGCAAGATTTTAGATCAATATCATAACTCGGGTAAATCTGGTGATCAAATTGTGGGCCGAGAATAGTATAATAATTTAGTGATTTAGAGGCCATAAAACAGTTAGAAACATAATTCAGAAGCATCTGAAATTTCAACAAACTTGTATCTTTTTAATGACTGTAATTGTAAGTGAAAGGAGTTCTTACTTGTGTTTTCCCAGATGATGATGGCCCAACTATTTCTATTAGATGTCCCTCACATAATCCACCTTGAAGTAACATGTCAATCCTGGTTCACAAAATGACATTTAAATACTTAGGTATCTTAATAGCATCATAATCTTAGTGTGGTAAAAAAAAAAAAAATAGCAAATATTCAGGCTCAGGATACTTTTCACATCCAGTGGATAGAACATGCTTATTCTGTTGAGCATCTTCCAACAGCTCCATACCATTCAGCCAAGGTTGATGCTGACCATCTATGATAGAGAGGACTTGGGTAATGCCCTACTTGCTCACAACAATAAAAAAATAATAATAATAATAATCACATATAGTACTACCATAAAATACTGACGTATAAGAAAAATAATACTTCGAATATCGAACCTGCTTTAATCTTTCTGAATTAGAGTGTTGTTCTGCCAAAGCAACTAAGACGTAGATGTCATGAACAAGGAAATCTTCAACTACACAATAATACACGAGGATAAATTGAAAATAACAGAAATTTAGTTAGGCATGCAAGAATTTGTAAGTAAAATGGACCTCAGAGACACACACACACACACAAATAAATAAATAAATGGACCTCAGACTTCAGGTTGAAGCTAAGTACTAATGAAAAATGGAAAGTAGCAATAAAATCTGATGTCCAGCCACAAATTCGCAGTTTCCATCTCCAGTATTATGAGATGCTAAACAAAGCAATTTCAATAAGTAAATAACTAAATTAACATACCAAACTTGAAAATAAATGCACATTTTTGGACATTAATTTCACTGTACAACAAGATCTGTACAATTATAATCTTACAGAAACACAAGTATTGACTTCATGACTCATAACTTCTGTCCTGAACTTGATTTCTTTCAAATGAAGGATGCCCCAGAACTTATATTACAGTTGTTTTACAGCCGCACAATTTTAGGCTGAAGCATATTTTTTTTTAAAATAAAAATAAAAGTTGGTTCACACCGTAATGCTGCTGTTATGTATTACCCCCTCACCATTACAGACGTATCAACTGTTTTGGGATGTTATGGTCAAAATTTCAACTGTAATTTTTTCCCATGATAACTAGTGAAGAGGTTAATGATAGATTTTTATTGTAATATCACTCAGAAACCAAATAGTGGAGTTTTGCTGACACTTGATTTAGAATTCAATACAAGAAGTAAAAAAAAAAAAAAAAAATCAAGAACATTGAAATTTATAGCACACCGAGATTGCTATATGCATATTAGTTAGTCTTAAGGATTTGCTAATAAAAAAGAATAAATTCACTTTTTCAATAACCCACTAATGTTATGCATTGATCAATACCCCTTATACCATTACAATACAACTGCTACTAACCAATACTGCAATAAAAAATCAAGGGATGGAATGTTGATATAATAGTCAATAATTTGAGTAAATAGGACTATTGAAATTAACAACTTTAAAGTGGCTGCGTTCAGTAGGGGGAACAATCTAATGAAATGTTTACTGCACATCAACCCTATACTAGTTATTCAGTTATACAAAGACGATTATTTTATACAACACTTCAGGTATAATGGAAAAGAAAGCTTGGATTTCTCAAACTTATAACTTTTAGAGATAAACAAATGAGTCAATTTTTGAGGTAGTTGATTCATGTTAAGTCGCATTTGGGTTTTCACTCACCATTAATAACAATATTAAATTCCAATTTGGGTTTTAATTTCGAAGCACAATTTATTCTTTTTCTTTTTTTCCCTTTTTCTTTTGGATAATGTCTAGCGAAACACGTTATGAGATGATTCCTAGTTCTTAGACACATTAAAAACCATTTCCCCTCTAGTTTCTCACTCTGACTACCACCATCTACCATCTAACTTTAAACAAATTGAATTATCCACAATGCAACTTACCTCTGTAACCTTGTTAGAGGCGAATCAACTCTTTCATATAGAACACAATCATTAATTAAAAAAATTACCTATAAGAAACACAACGTTTCGATGTTGAATGCCAAGAAATTCATTCACCCATTACTTTTTAAACTAGATACCAAAATCCCCACCCAAAAGGCACTACATGAAACCTATAAGGCGTCGTTGATACAGCCATTCTTGCACCATAGCCTAATCTAAGGTCGTTTCAAAATCATCTTATATCCACCAAGTGTTAACAATCAACTACAACCTGGAACACAAGTTAAGTCAAGTCACATGGTACAACTCAAATAGAAAAACATAGAGAGAAAGAGTGAGAGAAGGAACTTAAATCTTTAATTCCTGACATGATGCAGTTTTATCTTCCAAACAACTAAAAGCTGAATTCAGCTAAGCCAATTTGTTGTTCCTAGTTTCTAGGTCATTTGTTCTTTAAAGTCCCAACCAATGAAGAATATATAAGTTATGTATGTGCATTCTTTTCTTTTCGTACACTAACTCCACAACCAAACAGAGAATTCAAAGAAAAACAACACAAATCAGTTAAAAAGGAAAACAAAAAATAAAACCAGCAAATTGATGCAAAACGCACAATCATTAATCATATGATGAAGATGATTCTAACAAGCAATCATGATTAAGGACCTCTTATTGAACTAAGTACTCTCAAAGTGTTATTCAAGAAACAATCATTTTCTCGAGAAAAATGAGGACGGAAAGGAAATGGAGAGAGTAGACCTGAGAAGATGGCGTGAGAGGCACAGAATTGCTGGAAATTGGAGTCTATTATTGGGTACTCGTGCTCCAGAGATTTTAATGGTGCCATCTGTCTCGCTTTTCTCTCTCTAAACTATACACACACTCCTATATACACACATGTATACGTATTACATACACACACACTTCGATTTCACTGGCAAATTTGAGAATTGCGGCGTGTTGCGCGAAACTGAGGCTACTGGTTAGAAGGGCATGGGGTAATTATCCTCTACGGTGAGGACCCAGTCAAAACTGGTCTACATAGTTCTAATTTTGACATGTCAGCATCGATGGATGTGAGTAGGCTGTAAATGGATGGATTCAGACCGGATCAGGCCAGTCCGATCCGGTCTAATAAGAGATATGTAATCGATTTGATAATTCTAAGAATTATTTAGAATTAAATTCTCATATACGATTTTGTTAATATTCGGATATCTCCAAAAAAGTATACAGTAATTTTTTTGTTAAAAATATTTGGAAGAAAACAATCATTTGGCAAAAGACAAAAAAGAGGGAGAGAGAAACTAGAGAAGAAAATAAAATATCCAAAAAAATAGTAAAGAAGTGGGTATTTGACGTTTTATTAAATAAAAAGAGAGAGAAAAAAGAAGAAGAATTAAGAAATGATAAAAAAAATGTAAATATTATGTATTATAGCATTATATAATATATTTATACTAGGAGTATATTATATATTATATTATATTAAATTGAATTATTATTGAATATCTATATCCGATTTGTTTTGCTAATAGATTATCAGATTTGGATCGTTATTGCATCATCACATTGAATGTTTCAATCAATATCTTATTTATTGGCTCGGATTTGAATCGAATTTGGATCAAAATTTGATTCATTAACATGTCTAGATATAAAGATATTAAGGATAATTATAAAACTCAGCTATCAATACAACCGACTACTCACATAGGCATCGGTTGTTTTTCTATAAATAAAACATACGGCATTGATTCTAGTCCATTCGACTAGGTCAAGACTCACCTAGCATAAGGTCATTTTGTAATGTAAAACTCTATTCAATAAGCGAATATAACCGCATGGTGCGTCTCACAACGATTGTTCTCACAATTGGTGTCGCGTTTTACGGTGAATGGCATTGCTCTTATGTGATCATGCGAGTGGTGATTTTAAGCCTATTCATCAACACAAGGACATGAACTGTTCCTGAATGACTTTGAAATAATCCCACTAAAAACAGTTTCAGAATGTGAAAATCTTGTTTACCTTCCTCTTTCACATGATTGAGGTACAAGTCCCTTGGAGCAACAGGTGCAAGTGTGTGAGCTTTTGGATCCTTTCAATATTTGAATGACAGGTGAAAATCACCTCCAGTGATAGTTTATCGTTTATTTTTTTTTTTAAATGAGTGGTCCAGAAATGGCCATGTCACCTATGTTGGGGATACACAGTAGGAAAATGTTATGATGCACCTTACAAAAATGTTAAGATGTACTTTTACTTACAAAAATGAAGAAAATTAACTACTATGTAACTGGAGATCATCCTTGTCCAAGGTCACTGGACCATCAATTGACTAAAAGCCAGATATCTAATTCAAAAGCAACGTAATCACAACACACACACCCAGATAGCAAATATCCATTAAACACTAAAAATGAACATCCAAACTGAAACCATCATATTTGGTTTCAGTTTGGATGTTCATTGGAGCAACAGGTGCAAGTGTGTGAGCTTTTGGATCCTTTTAATATTTGAATAACAGGTGAAAATCACCTCCAGTGATAGTGTGTTGTTTATATTATTTTAAAATGAGTGGTCCAGAAATGGCCATATCACCCATGTTTGGGATACACAGTAGGAAAATGTTAGGATGCACCTTACAAAAATATTAGGATGTACTTTTACTTGCAAAAATTGAGAAAATTAACTATTATGCAACTGGAGGTCATCCTTGTCCAGGTCGCTGGACCATCAATTGACTAAACGCCAGCTATCTACTTCAAAAGCAACATAATCACAGCACACACGTCCAGATAGCAAATATCCATTTAACACTAAAAATGAACATCCAAACTGAAACCATATTTATATTTACGAAAATCCATCCCAAACACCAGAGTAGATATATAGAAGCAAACAGAACAGATACCAAAACTAGGAAATCCTATAAAATGCTTTATTTGCATGACTAAATGAAAAAGGAACCCCCATTATTGCTTTTCCTCAATTTGGAGGGAAGAAGATTTCACTTGTCATCCTCTTTGAGGAGAATTGCTTTTCTAAATCCGGACTCGCGTTGAAGGAAGCCTGGAGCACTGGTGGAGACGAGGCCTTTCAAGCCGAAGTCCTTCCAGCTAAATGGGTGAACACAGGGCTGCAATGAACGATATTAATTGCTTTAGATACAACTTCCATCAAAAAGAAGAATTATCATAAGAATAATGTAATTCTGCATCTATTTGGTGAGGGGCTTTGTGAGATTACAAAATTTTGAAGAAACATGTGAAGCCAGTGAAGGTCATCAGACAAAATCAAACATACAAAAACAAATATGTCAAAAAAATACCTACTTGGGAGTGGTGATAATAGAGAACCATTCCAAGCCATCCGGACTAGCAATCTTTGACACCACGAAAAACCTTGGCACAATGAACAAGTTACGGCCTTTGACAGTCGTTTCCAGCACGCGTTTGCCATCAACGCCAGCAACCTGAACGCGTCCACTGCCCCTAACAATGTAAGTCTACTGCAGTGCCGAGTCACAAGAAAAACCAGGAGACCACATAGCACTACCATCCAGCCTGACAAGATCAGCACCAAGCCCAACCTCGCCAACCAAAGGCAAGTTCTTAATACAACCACTCTTCCACCATTCTTAATGTCGACATCCAGGGGAGCTTCCTCACAGTTCAATGCTATACCAACACAGTGTTCCTTCTTCGGTTCGGGCATCCTAAAGCCTTCAGGGAGGCTGACAATGCCATTGCCTGATTGCTTTCCGACAAAGGTCTTCACAACATTTTCTTCCAAGTCCCATGCTCTGCCCACAAACTCAGTAGAAAAGCCAGTGAAGACTCCATTTGATCCCGTTAGAAAGAAATCTATGAACGAACCAGCTTTGTGGGCTTTCAAAGTATCACCCGAGAAGAGGACCACAAGTTCAGTGTCCTTTTTGTTGTACCACCATGTAACAACGCCAAAAGAGACGGCAATGGCATCACCCTTCTTTATTGCAACTACTTTCTCTTCTTGTTCAGGAAGTACTATGCCAGCAACACCACTTCCTAAACAAGACAATATAGGATACATATTAGTTAGAACCAAATACTTCATCAATTCATAGTTAATTTATTAAACAACCAAATACTTCATCAATTCATGGGCAAGGCTAACAATGAGAGTAGTAAAAGTGATGATCATACCATTATTGGTCATCCATATCCATCCATGGTGAATGAAGATATCTCACAGAGTATTCATATTTGGGGAATGGTGGTTAGTGAAGTCCAATATCTCTGTGAAATAAAAAAAAAAATGACATAAATATAATAGGCTAATTGGCTAACTCACCATTTGACATAACAGTATCATCAACCATCAGCTAAAAGAGAGGAGCTAAAGCTAATACTAAGATAAAACCCAATCCACCAAATAAAAATCAACAATATTCCCTGGTGTCATTGTATCAATTGAAATTTGTTTCGAAGAAAGAACTATATTTGGTCTAGGAAAACATAAATTTTCAGAAAATAAAATAAAATAATAATTTATTGACTTTGTTTTCATTTACATTTAATATTGAAGTTATAGATTTATTTTTGTTACTTTTATTTATCTAAAAAGTAAATATTGGAAGAAGTAAGACCAGCCTTAGGCCCACTTCCCCATTAAACAGAATGCTGCATAAAAAATATAAATGGTAGAAAGTAAATGTCAAACTCCAGTCACACTAATAGGTTTTTCTAAAGCTCTCTTATTAAATATCTTTTGTTTTATTATTATTATTATTATTATTATTATTATTATTGCTGTTATTATCAAAATCAGAATATATACTTATATAATGAAAGTTGGAAGACAATGGGACAACAATATAATATAATTATACGTAATAAATAATCTAACCCAAAGTCCTAAATAAGATAATTATATCTATTGAATGGATTGGATAAAGTCAAAATTTTAACCTTATACAATTCATTCAAGTAATAATTCAAGTAATGAAGAGTAGATTATTTATTATTCCATCGAAGTACCAACAAATTAATATGAAATAACTAATGGGTCAGGCCTAACGGTATTGACCTCTTACTTCCCAAAGGGAGGTCAGAGATTCAAGTCTCAAAAAAGACATGCCAATTAAAAAATAAAAAATAAAATAATAATAATAATAATAAAATAAAAAATTAATATGAAATAAAATTAAGTAAATTGTTATCAAATGTGCAATCGTGCAATCTCGTCTACGGATCAAGGAACACCCACTATCAAAATATTGAAAAATGATACAAAAACAAACCCATTACAAGAATCTAAAATTACCTACATATGATCATGAACATTGAATAAAGGGATAATTTCACTGACACTCCCACTAGTTTGGCCAAATATCAGTCTAAAATATCTTTCGAAAATAACTAATACTTAAGTCCATTTTCGCTTTTTCGTTACAGCCTCCGTTAAAAACATGGAAAAAGACATGTTTGCCCGTAATTTTTTAATCATATTTATTCCAAAATATTAGATAGCGGAAATGACTTCTTTACCCCTACACACACTGTTTCTCTCTCCTCTATCTCTATATGGCTACAAGTCGCATACCCAAATTTCCCCTTCTTCCCCTTCACTTGCCGGTGGGCGAAGTACCAGCTATCCAAGCCGCCGGCAACCAAAATTCGCTTCTTCTTTGATGTTGATTTTGCTGGTACTATTTGATTGCCAGAAGAAGCGACGCTCGCTTCACCTGAAGCTGTGGAATCATTCATGGCGGATGAGTTATTGAAGTTTGGTTGTGTTGGGAAAACCAGAGGGTAATATTTTGAGATTGTTGTGGGAGAGGTCAAGAACAGAGAGGTTTCGAAAACCAGAGAGATGAGCCAAGTTAGTGAACCTGTTTGTAGAAAGATTGAGGACTTGAATCGATGAAAATGAAGCTATATCTGAAGTGGGTTCGAACCCAATGGTCCCT